TTTAACTTCCTACCGTACTGGAGAGAAGAGAGAAAAGAAGTTGATCTGCCAGTCGCGGGTCTTTCATGCCGAGAACTCTGCTCATATTTTATGCGTAATGATGCATTTTAAAGTTAACGACCAAACGGATGTTTATAAAAGTTTACATTGCTGTTGCATATGAAATATAACACAAATAACATTAAATAAATATTTTTTACCAGGTTAAATGTTGAAGGCTTTTTCTAAGCCTCTCTACCTAACCGCTGGTCGCGCACATCCGCCATGTTTGTAGTTTTTAACGCGTTTTATTCGGGTTTGTAGTTCTGGACAGAATCCTTCACCAAAGCGCACTGGATCTTGGCCAGTATTAGCCATTAGAGTGTGCACGGATCCACACTTCAAAAATCGACCTGAAATAGTAGACCATCCGGGGACTTTTGGCATACTCTTTTCAACATACTATGCTTTGGGACACACTTTTCTCACATACTATTTAGGATAGATAGTATGAACATTGAGAACAGGGTAGCTGTTACTTTGATCTGTGTCCGCGTCCTTCCCTCCTGCACAGTACTGTGACAGTAATGTTGTTTGTACATTTACAATGGGCAATTGTCCTACTAACCCCACGTCTGTAATGTAAAATGGAGATTCCATTAAATGCAGAGATGAAACAAAACAGATAATAACATGAAATATTTTGTTTCATGAGTTATAAAATAGAGTCAGCTCAGTGTACTAGTAGTTTCACCAGATTAGCACTAGAGTCACCATCACTTGCTGGGTTTTTGTGATTTCTTGAAGAGACTGGTCTATTTCACCTTGGATTGTAATGGCTCATCATCTCAGTGTCTATTTTTCACTATCTTTGCAAAGCCTTGCTTGAGTGTCACTGCAATTCCAAGCAGTCTTCTGCTGTCAGATCTTTCTTGTATCTTAGAATTGGACTTTTTGCTAGATCTTATCGATGAAATTTTAAGAGCTATAATTTCAACTAAACACACAAATGAAACCAAAGATAGAAACAAAAATGAAACCAATGACACAGTAATAATTAATAAATTATTACATTTAATCATTTTAGTAAAACTTGAAAATGTATAGGCCTATTAATCAAAATTAAATGTTCTGTTATATTGTTTTAATTCTGTCATATGTCTGCACCATTACTATCCATTAATCTTTCATCACGGTTCTTTTATCTTTGGTTTCATTTTCATATGGCTTATCATTTTTCATATCTCGATTTCTGCTGAATTCCATAAATTCATATGGCCTGTTTTTAATCATTGCAAGGTTCATTAATGTTTTATAATATGAACTTGGTGAATGTGTAGATGAGCTGCTGAAGCAGTGTAAAACAATCAGATGTTCTTGTCTTCATCCATCACAATGAAAGCTAGTTTTTAAGCTTATTCATTCTACATAGATTCTACTGGGAATGTGAAACCCCTGGAGCTATAGCCATCTAACAAAAATCAAGTTGGTTAAAAAATCATTGCAAAAGTGGCTCATAACAGCTAGCTAGCATCATTTGTTTTGCAGATGACATTTGCATTGTGATTTTATCTAACGCAACAACATTCATATTTGTAAGTCTGTCTGGAGCCACTGTACTGTGCAGAATAAGTACGTTTAAGAAGTTCAAGTTGGATATCAAATGGTGGTTTACAGCAATATTGGATTACGTCATGACTGATGCCTGTTCCCTTGCATATTTACTGTCAACATACCTTAAGAATCACTTCCTTGTGTTTCTGAACTAGCTGTCATTCAGCAGTGTTGAACTGTTAAGACAAGCCCATAAGCCCAGTCTTCCTCACCGCATACATATGAATTAAATGAAATAAGAAATCAGCTAAATAAAATGTAATTCTCACTTATATACTAGTTTTTATCTCTGTTTCCAATATTTGAACTGTACTTCAAAAATGCTACAGTTCTGGTCCTCCCCTCTTTGACGCTGTGGAATAAAAGTGAAACTTCTGCTACACTGCTGTGGAGTTAGGTTGGCTGCCTTGTTATGCTTTGATCACCATTATTATTGCAACGGTAATTAAATTAAATTTGCAGTGCTATATAGAATATCTTGTTCTAGAGAGAATTGGTTCACTCTAGAAAAATAGAATTTCAGATTTCAAAAAATAAATACTTGTAATTAGATTATATTACATTTTCAAATACTCGTAATCAGACTATAGTTACTTTTTATTGATTACATATTCACACAATAGCAATAAATTATTCATAATTTATTGATTCTCCCGAATTCTTTTTCATAAAACTCACAAACTCCCTGCAGTTCCTTCACAAAACCCAGTTTGCAAAATCATGATATAATGTAATGTTTAATGCACTTCATGTTGTTAATAACAACAAAACAAATGGAATATATTTTCTTTCTCTTTGTATTTTTATATCAATATGGTACAAGATTATCCTATTTAAAGGGGTCATATGATATGTTACTGACTACAGTTTTTGTCATGTCATTTGGAATCAGTAACGGACTACAACTTGTAAGTAATCTACCCATATAAAATACACAAAATATCAAACATTTGTTTTAGTCTTTTAGTTTCAGTTCAGAGAAGCTACCTTTACGTGCCCTTAAAGGTGGGGTAAGTGATTTCTGGTAGCCAATGTTGATATTTCAAATCACCAAAACAAACACGCCCCTACCCCAAAAGGGTCTCGTCCCTATTTTGATAGCTCCGCCCCACACATACGTACGCAACCCAGGCAACGATTAGTTCTGTGAAACAAAGCAAAACCAATGTTACACCGTGTCTACACCGGACGCGAGTGGCGCG